GGCGACCCGCCGCCGCGGGGGGGGGGTCCCGGCGGTTCTGCCGTCAGCCGTTACAGGGGCGCTTGGCCGGTGCCCCGCCTCGCGCCAGGCTTTTTCCTGGACGGTTCCGCCGTCCTTCTCAACGGTGGGCTGCACGCCTCTTTTGGGGCGGCTGAGGGAGTCCCTCAGCAGCGACGGAGGTTTCAGCTGAAGCCTGGCTGCAGGTGTACCCTGAAAGTCCTCTTCTTCATCTTGTCCCCCTTTCTGCCAAAATATCATGTCGTGCTGTCATCAACAACTTCTTCGTTGTTGCGGACAACTTAATGTTGCGAAGGCCAGTTTTTGCCAGCTCGCTCTCCTTTCTGTGCCTGTTGCAAATGTCAGTCAGACCCTCTTGCTATTTCCTTAGCCATTTTTTTAGCAGCTATCTAGAAAGCTTTCTACTTGCGTGACAGGCAGCCCATCTTTTCAGTTGTTACTCCTCTTGTGTATGTGTGCAAAGGGAGGTACGTACCTGTTCTCTCTGAGCTCCTTTGTTTCAGAAAAAGGGTTTTTTTGAGGGGCGGAGTGGGAAGGAGCACGGGGATGAACCTTTATGCTGCTTGTGCGTGGTTATTAGGAAGCTTGGTGCTTGCCCATGTAATAACCTCCTTTTCCCTCGTCTCCCGGACTTGAGTTCTCTTGATCTATGAAACATGTACAGGAAAGGTTTTAAACAAAAGGGAAATTAGACATAGGCAGTTGGACCAAAGATAAACAATTGGACCAAAAGACCGAATGCTGAGTTTAGTAAGAAAAGCTAGGTGCTCATCCCTTTTGAAAATCAGTTTCCTACCTTAAAGTAGAAACTTGCTACAGAAGTTGTAGCCTTGATGTACGCCTTATGACTTTTCTGAAAATAGTAAGACCGTCTTCAAGGTTTGTTCTGTGGTCTGTTCACTCTCCTGATCTCCAAAATATTCTACAGAGGGGAATTCATTGATTCAAAAACTAGTTTAAATTCTACTTTGGTCTTCGTATTTCCACTGAGGTTACATAAATGCTTAGCCTTCATTTTTAGTTATAACTGCTTCTTGCAGCAAGGGCTGAAGGAAATGTTCCAGTGCGACTTCAAGCTAAATTTATAATGACGTGAAATAAGATCATTAGTTAAGTCACGCTGTGTAAAGTCATGCCTTTATGTCACACCTCAAATGGTATTGTATAGCATGTAAAATGCAAAAACCAAATAATGTCTTCGCTGTACTTGGAGACTTTTTGCAAATGATACGTTTTGAAAACAATAGCTTGAAATTATTTTTTTCTTCATCTCATTTTGGTGTAACATACTAATTTCTTTGAAAAGAAGACCTTTTTTTTTAATTATTTCTTTGTTTTCTTCCAGAACAGCTTTTAGGATATGATTTACATTACAAATATGTTCCTCATAGGTGTCTTTTTTGATCCCTGAATGTGGCGTGCTACCTGAAGTGCTGAAAAGTACTATCGCAGATGTTGGAGAGTATTACCTGGTGAGGAATTTATCAGTTCATGAACTGGTCGCTCATGAATTCATCGATGCTTTTGTGAAGAAAGGTAAGGAGGTAATCAGAACATGACAGATGCAGTAATAGTGTGTATTTTTCATAACACAGTAAAATCCATTTATTATTATTTATTCTGAAAAGTATTTTAAAGGAAGGGAAGAAAAAATACCAAGAAAATTCTGTATTAATTTCTTTATCTGCTTTTTTTCTGCTTTATGGTGTGTCAACATTTGTTTATACCCAATGGGTCCAAAACTTCTGTGAGTGTTCCCTCTTCATTTGTCCCTATTCGATCTTAATTCTGCATGCTAGCTGTCAAGAGGCCTTCCATGTATCCTCACACCTGCTTATCTTTTACATCTCATCTTTATGCAGATTCCTGTAGAAATCGGCTCCCTTCTCCCTTTCTGATTCCTTCATATTTCAACACAGAGCTGTGTTAGCTGTGGTCCGCAGCAGGCAAGAGAAAAAGAGGAAAAAATAAGCTTTTTTTGGGGGTGGTGGCTAATGGAGCTGCAGCGGCTCGTCCTTACATAGTAAGAGCAAAAAGGATGTGAGGAAAGGTGCAGCCTCTGCCCAGCCAACCTGCCATTGCATACTCAGAGCATACTGTTTTAATTGACCAGGGCCTACTCATTTGGCTCATGATAAATGTTGTACTCTTCAGATGATTGTCAGGGAGAAAAAAAGCTTTAAGGGAAAAGAGGAGAAAAGAGAACATGTGGGTCAAACGGGAGAATGAGATCCATTACTTTCTCAATGTCGGACTCTTTCGTATTTCTTTTAGTCTCATTAATGGCTTTTACATCATTTTTATGGAAGCAGTATGACGTTTGTACACCAAGTTTACAGGATCTGACTCTTGTATTTTTAAGAACAAAAGTGGTTGTGGCAAATAATGCTACAAAATATATTTAGTAATGTGAGCATCTTCCACCTTGTCTTCATGTGTGTGAACTAACAATAGAAATGTGTCTGGAAAAAAATGGGGTTTTCCATTTGCTGAGTGGGGAAGGTTGCAGGTGGAAAGAAAGTGTTTTCATATTGGGGCGTATTGTTAATGTTATCTGTATTACAGGTCCTTTAAAATAGTGCCAGTCCAAGGTTTATAAAACTAATAGCAAAATGCTATTTTGCTGGAGAAGGTGGAGGAAAGTTAGTTGATGAAAACACAAGGGTTTAGAGTGATTCAAATGGTATTCGGTGTGTTTGATTATCTTGAGGTTAATCTTTCATATTGCCGTGTCTGTCTTTAGAGACTATGTAATCTCATGGTTTTCTGCTTTACTATTAAAGGTTCATGCTATGCACTTACCTATAACACAAAAATTGATCAAGATAATACTGCAGCTCTGCTACCAAATGGTATGTTTTGTTTTTAGTAATACATACATATTGATTGTGGTCTTGTTGGATTTTGTTTGTTTGTTTTTCCCCCATTTGGAATGATGTAAACTGGAAAATTTAATGCTTACTGTACTTGCCAACTTTATTAGAAATATGTTTGAATCGGAAAATATTCATTTTAACTTATTTTTTTCATTGATGCTGTTAAATTATTTATTTCCTCTAAACGAAATTTTAAAAAATCAGCTTCACTTATGTATAGTATCAGATTGTCAATGCTTCAACTGTAATTGCAGTTGCTACAGAGGATTATTTTTGTGAAAACTTTGCATTCCAATTTCTTGTTTCCTACTGGTCTTAAAGACAGAATTTGTACCAAAAAAGAAAATTATCAGCACTGCTTAGGAACACTTTCTAAATATTCAGTGTTTATTCTTTGAGAATTATGTGATGTGTTGAAATATTCTGTTGCAGTTCCATCACAGTTTTATGACAAAATGTTCCATCTCAGGTGGGGTTTTACATGCAGAGAAAATAATGAAGCTATTTTGGGCTTCAAATAGGTCGTCTTATTTCTGTTTAACAATATGTCAGATATAATAGAAACACAAATTGGTCTATCAGCCCTCCAGCCCAAGACACTGTGATATGACAGGTGCCCATCAGGGCATAAGTAAATTCACATTCTTCAGAGGAGGAATTATTTTATGTGCTCTGTTAGCACAGTCCTAGCAAAATGGATACTTTATAGTGTTTGAGTTTGTATGATACAGTTATTACAAGCTATGCACAATTAATGCAGAGACAGCGTTACAGTTCCTGGTGATGTCATTATCTGAAATCCTCAGCAGCAGCCTTATTTGTTTGTATTGTATATTATACTGTTACTTGGACAGTAGAATCAAAAGACTGCAGTAGAGACCTGTTGTGTGAAATTCTGGACCAAGTGTACCAAATTCTCTACCAAGATTTCAGTCGCTATCTGAAATCTTCAGCAGCAGCCTTATTTGTTTTTATTCCATATTATACTGTTACTTGAACAGTAGGATCAAAAGACTGTAGTAGAGCTCTGTTGTGTGAAATTCTGTACCAAGTGGCAGCTGCCAGATTTGGTTTATGAACATGGAAGTGGAGTTGTTCCAGCGTGTACCTGCTCATCACTAATAAGTATAGTTTACTCAATGTGAGTAGTCCCACTGGCGTCGGAGGAACTGTTTTTGTATGTTTAGTTGAGCAGTGCGTGCATGACTGTTTACGAAGTGAGGCCCTAGTGTAATGTAGTGTTCAACCAATGACACAGCAAATGCTAGGGGACAAGTGGAGGAGATTGAGGCAATGAAGTGAGGTAGTACAGTAAAAAAGCTATGACTGTCTCGGGAATAATACTACACTTTTCTCATTCTAGTTCATAAGACCTCTTTGATAAAAAAGGCTAATTGAGTTATAACGTATTTTTTTTTAAGGGTTAATCTGGTAATCCATTTACCTGGAACTAAGGAGTTGGGATTACATTAGTAATACCGTTGATCCAAAGCTAACGTTGTGTAAAATATACGGTTCTCAGAAGACTTTAAAGGGAACTAAGTGGAAGATTATTTATATTAAAATTTGTTCTGTTTATAGGAAAACTAATTCTATCAGTGGATAAGGATACGTATGAGGAACTTGGACTGCAGGGTCGCCCTTCTCGGTATTCTGGCAAAAAAGCAATGAGATATAGTAAGTATTATTTATATTAACAGTGCTTATTTCAGATCTGTCTGTGAAGCACCTTGTTAGGATGTTAAACCAGCAATGCTGAAACTTCCCTTTCCTTAAAATTGGTTATTGTCTAGGTCGTATTTTTCCAGATACAAATACAGGGACTGCATGAAGAAAGTAAATACTTTTTCCAAATAATAAAGCAGTTATAAGGAAACAAATGTGTGATCTTTTGGGTATTTTGTAAAACTTCTAATTTCTGTGTTTTTCAGTGTGTTGTTTTTACTGGACTGATGTAGGACTCGAGAAATTTTGTGTACTGTGCACAGTATCTATGCCTTCTGATTTAAATCGGAAAATACTAAACAAATTAAGGTAGACCTTAAAATTTGCACACTATACAAAACAAATCAGTGAAGAGCCTCACCCAAGACTGCTTGCTTGAAAGGGAGAATTGTATTATGTTTGACACATTTAAAATGGTACTCTCCATATACCAAGTATTTGGAAAATGTTGTAATTTTTTAACAACTGCAGAAGAGACATACTGAGTGTGATTTTTGTTAATATTTTTCTTGTAAATAATTAAAAAAACCATTAACACTATGCCATCTCACATGTATTAGAACCTGCAGCAGTAGATAGGTAGTTACATAAAAACTTTAGAAGAAGAAATTTGTTATCTAATAATAAGAATTTTGGCAAAATGGGACATCATTTTACTATTCAGTTTGTCAAGTAAAATGTATGATGAAATTTCCATCTGAAAAATCAATGTAACTTTTAGCCTGGGACCAATTAATCTAGAAAAAAAAACTGTTGAAAAAGTGTCATTGCCATATACGTGGCTTTTGATGTTAGTAACTTTTTTTAGTGCTAATAGCTTGCCTAATTACCATGATATTTTTAAGGCACTGTTTTGGGACTTCTGTCACTGCCATTACAAAAGGAATCTGTCCTTCCACTCACTAGAAGGTAGTTCCAGATTATTTCAAAATAAGGACAGCAGGAAGTGAATATTTATTTACATAATAGGGAGTCATATTTGCATAATCAAATACTTTATAAAGATGCTGTATATGTGAAAAGGAAGTTTAAAGTTCTTTGGTTTCTTTGTGTTCTTTTAATTCTTAATGAATTCAATATTAAATTATTCAATTGATTAAGTATTGCTTTTGTACGTTTTTGCAGTTATAACTATTGACTTGACTGATTCCGGCTTTCACCCTGATAGCAAGAAACATAACAGAGTGCTTTGGGCCTTGAAAGAAAAGAAACCTTTAGAATTTGACTTCCTACTGGCTTGGTATAATACAGGTAATAAGAACTAAATGTGAAAGTAAAATGTAACTGACATGAAGCCCAAATATTTTTAGTTTACTGTTCTTTTGTAGTGATTGTCCAAATGCTTTTTTAGTGGAGGGAAAAGTTAGATTAAAATGTGTTTGGGTGGGATTTCTTGTTTGTTCTGTTTATTTGTTGGGGGGGTGTGTGTGTTATTTCCTACACAGCAGAACATTTCAGTTCAGGAACACAACAGTGATTCATAGGAGAGAGATTAGTTGCTTCATTTCCTTGTCTCTATATTGCCCAGGCTTTCTGGTGTAACTTTGCCTATGTGATAGCACTGCCTCTTCTTTATAAATCTGTGACATATATAACTGTTATTAATACACGTAAGTTACATATTTGGTGTAATACTTGAGATGGGGAACTTTTTGTTTCATCAGTAGTTATAGGACGTGTACAGAGTCCCTGTTTCTGTCATGTGCTGTGTACGCTGATACACATGCGGTCTGCTATTTTATCATTTTATTCTCGGGCACTTGTTTGGAGCAGAGTGAGAGGCTGCTGTTATAAGAAATTGTATTGTCTCAAATCACCTTTCTTCTAGAATTCATTTACCTACTGTTTTCTGATTACATTAATTTTTCTTCTGGGATTTAAGTATTATTGTTCCTCTGACAGTCATTTTCCAAAGTCCTCAGTTGCTTGTATTACCTCAGAACAGGCTGTATCTAGGAATATGTAGCATTTGCATAGAATTGACAAAAGCTGCAGGAGTCTGTACTGAAAAAAAAAAAAAAAAAAAAAAAAAAAAAAAAAAAAAAAAAAAAAAATTTCTTCATCATAGCTGTGTAGCTTTTAGTGTGGTTCTGCTTTGAGTCATGAAGAAATCTCCACACTAGTGAGAAGGGATGTTAGAGAGGTCCCTGAGAGTGCTTCCCCATCTGCTCTTTACATTGTTACTCTTGCCTGGCTCTTCAAGACCAAGTCTGAGAGGGAGTTACTGATCTGAGAAATTAAAGCTGCTTACAAGCTCCTTTAGTAGTGTCCCATGTTTCATTTTAGTCCTTCATGTTTCCCCTCTCCCTTTTTAAGTACTAATCATAGGACAAGGATCCTTCCTTGTTTGTCATACAGAAATTGTTTAAAGGCTTACAATTCCTGTCCTCGTAGTTTTCGGGAAAGTCACAGTGAAGACTGTTGCTACCATAAATGGTGACATAAATCCAGCTAAGGTGGCAGATCTTCAGGCTCAGCTTGCTTGGATTTATTGACCCTGGGCAGAGAGCAAAATGCCCCTAGGGCTGGTATGTTTCTTATGTTTGCTGCTGCCAGTGTAGCAGCATTCAGGAAGAATAGCGTTCCTTTTCCTCACTTTCTTACATCCAAAAACTGGGTCAGGTCAATCGTTTCCTGAGTATGGAGTTAAATCTGCCTTTCTGTGCAGGAATCTTGTGCTCGTAACACACGGAAGGCTCTTAGTTCCTCAGTACTGACAAAAATAAAACTTGTATGGATTTTTATTAATAGACGTGAGGCATCGTGTAGATTCTGCTGGAAGGGGAAAAGAGGGATGTATTTTGTTGAGAAAAATCTGTGCCTTCCGTGAACATTCTGCTTTCAGCCTTATGTTTCTTGCTATGGCCAGCACTGCTGCAGACCAATAAACATTTGTGTCACTTTCCAAAAGCAGGATTTTTTGTTTTCATACCCGTTTTTCCCACTTAGTGGTTCTGGCACCAAGAGGAACAGAAAAAGGGAATATGGAGTGTCTCATGTCTTTAATGACAGAGGCAAAACAACCTTTTCTTCTCTTTTCTATTGCTGTAATTTCTGTGGCAATTTTAAGTGTTTACTGGCTGAAATTCACTGCCCTCCAAAAAACTTTGACAATGTGCCTGGTTGTTGTTGACATGGAAAGCTATGCTGTAGCTAGCAGAACTGCCCTGTTGGAGTCTTGACTGTAGACTTTGAGATTTCTTGAAGTTAGGACTATAGCTGAGGCTCCCATATGGAGTGGACATTTAAAATGTATAATTTTTTTATATTTGACTAAGAATTCCAGGGCAATAGTATACATTTCTCTGAACCTGTTACTCTTAACAGATGCCAATAGAAAGTACAGACCGAAGGAAGATCATCTGTTCTAGCACACTTCAGACTTAAATATATCTATATAAAAAAATTAGTAAGAATTAGGTGGCTGCCTGTCTTTGTCACTGTGCCCTTTGGTACTTGGACAGTCTTTTTTGAAAGATGACTAAAAAGGATCAGGTTAGCTCTCCTTTTTCTACTTCCCCATGTGGTTGTCCTTGATGAGATAAATATGGCTGATGGAGTTTAGGCAGTCTATAATTTTTGATAGCAAATCTTGGATATTGTATTCCGTGGTGAACTCTATCGTCTTCCAGAATTTCTTCTGTTCGTACATGCCTTTCCTATGGTATTTAAATGCTCTTCTGGACTTCAGACTTCTCATGAATAAGGTATTATTTCTTGGTCGCCTAGAGACCCGTTGTTACTTCATGAAAATAGAATACGTTATCTGGAATTTCAAATGTAGGAGAATTGATTCCATGTCAATTACCTTACTGCTTCAAAAAGGAAGTTGGTTAGTATTTCTGAATTTGCAGTATGCTTGCTTAGGTTAGGTTAAGTTTTTAGTCTAGGTTAGGTTTTTGGAATTTTACCTGCTGTTTTGGATCACTTACTAGAGTTGAAGAAACATGGCCTTTCCCACAAGTCCATCAAGGTACATCTAACAGTTACAGCCGTACTGCATTTGAAGAGTTATCACTGTGTTTTCTTCTCCTGTGATCCTAGTAGAGTGAGATTTGTGATATAGTTTGGTTTCTTTACACTCACCCCTTCCTTCTCTCTTCAATCCTTGTCCCTCTGACTATCCTAGCATTCCTCTTGACATCATTGATAAATCTATTCTCAAACCTGTAGTCACCTGCTCACTTTTCCACTATTCAGTGAAAACAGTGTTCTGGGATGGCAGGCACCTTAGCCAGATGCGTAGGAGGGTCTCTAGTCTTGATGACTGATTGTGGTATTTTTCTGGGAAAATACCACCTTGCAAATATATCATATCCGAAGATGATTTCTCAGTTTACTGTAAATCAAAAATTTTTCTTGAAGACTTTACAGCTCCTAAATTAAGTTCGCCATCACGCCTAGGAAATCAAGTATGTGGTGTTTAGTGATGGGATAAGACCTCTCAGAAGGACTCTTACATGTTCTTGTCCTCAGCTGAGAGAACTAAGAGATCCACTAACCTGACATGCTGCATAGAAGACTGAGTGCCTTTTAGGACAATGAAAAGGGAAACTTTCTGCAGTTGTGAAGGCATGTTCCAGGAGAATTTAAATGACACGATAGCTTTTTGCAAAGTATTCCCGAGATCTGCAGGAATTTACTCCATTGGAGTTGTTCATGATTCTAGAAGCCATACTGTCTCTAGGAGGCAGTTCTTAGTGAACTGGTGATGCTGGGATCCCTCTAGACACTCAGTGGTTTTGGAGGGAATACTGCCTCAATTCATTTGAGCTTAGTTCCCTTTACCTGATCTTAGAGATATGTTATCTTTGCGTACATCTACCACATGTATTCTCCCTCTCAAATTGCCATGCCTGAGGAATTTCTAGAGATGACCTAAAGGTATAAGGCATGCATTGCCCTTCTACAGCAGCAAGTACCTGTGCGTGAGCACAAAGGGAATGTACATATGGGCCCTGGTAAGGCAATATGTTCTCTGGCCTCGTGTATATAGGCATGGGTATACTTACAGTGTGAGTGCATTTGCAGACCACTTTGTCTTGGGGAGCAGTTAACGTGTTCCTGTTCCCTTTCATGTGTTCCTTTTCGGGAACGCTCTGAATTCCTCTTTCTAATGAGTTCATTTTATTACTTGCCTAGTTAATTCTGCTTGAATGTTCCATTGACTGATCTATACTTGCTAGTTAAATAGTAAATTTGCTGAGCTGTACTGAATTGCTGGATCTTGCACTAATTTTTATTTCCAAGAAGATAACGAAACTTAAGATTCTATGGCTTTTGCCAAAGACAACAGCATGTAAGCAGTCTTACACACTGCATTTTCTTGTATACATACACAAAGGTTTCATGTATTCAGTGTTCCTTTTGTTAAGTAGTTTCGTAACAGCTCTTTGTGGTGGTGTGTTGTTAAGGTGCAGAGGGATCAACATTGATGTCATACTTCTCAAAAAACCAAATACAGGCCCTGAAGCCAAAAATAACATTCAGCACATTAAGGGACTTGCAGTGTCCGGTGTTACAAAGTAATGAACTACAAGGAAAGCCAGAGGAGTCCTGCAGTACTGAGGAACTGTTTGAATGGCTAGGTGCTGTCTTGAGTCAAGTTACCTTGTAAGTATTTGAATTTGCTTCATCTTTAAATACATTTTAAGTAAGGAAAGCCACAATTTATTTTAAGGAATAGTTAAATAAGAATTAAGAAAGACACATTTCTGTAAGTGGGAAGTCTGTTTTGCACTTAAGTGTTTCTTGTATGTCTTGAATAACTTACCTGTGTTTTTAGGGGTACCCATGTGTACTGGTTTTGGCTGGGATAGAGTTAATTTTCTTTGTAGTAGCTGGTGTGATGCTGTGTTTTGGATTTGTGCTGAAAACAGTGTTGGTAACAGGGGGATGTTTTAGCTGTTGCTGAGAAGTGCTTACACAGTGTCAAGGCCTTTTCTGTTTCTCACACTGCCCTGCCAGCGAGTAGGCTGGGGGTGGGCAAGAGGCTGGGAGGGGACACAGCTGGGACAGCTGACCCCCACTGACCAGAGGGATATCCCGTACCGTATGACGTCAGGCTCAGCAATAAAAGCTGGGGAGGGGAAGGGCGGGAAACGTTCAGAGTTACAGCGTTTGTCTTCCCAAGTCACAGTTACACGTCATGAAGCCCTGCTTTCCTGGAGATGGCTAAACATCGGTCTGCCGATGGGAAGCAGTAAATGAATTCCTTAGTTTGCTTTGCTTTCACATGCAACTTCTTGCTTTACCTATTAAATTGTCTTTATCTCAACCCATGCATTTTCTCACTTTCACTCTTCCAGTTCTCTCCCGCATCCCACTAGGGAGGAGTGAGTGAGCAGCTGTGTGGTATTTAGGTGCTTACTAGGGTTAACCCATAGCTCCGTGACATCTTGTGTATTCATTTCTTGGCCATTAGTTGCTTCTGTATTAATTTAGATAATATACATAGATACTACTTGTTTGGTACAAGTTTTGATTACTAAGACTTCCTGTGGATTATTTAAAGGATATTCATTTTAGTTGGGTGGTTTTTGGTTTTTGTTTTTTTTTCCCCAGAGACAACAAATCATCTAGCTTCTTATCAACCTATTGCTGTCCTCAACCCAACACAGTGGTGGAAAAAGCTTTTTTGTGCACAATCACAGGCTTTATAATTCCTGAGAAGATAATTCAGTTATTGGAGCAGCTATGGTAAGGGCTGACAGGAGTACATTACTAGAACACTTGTACTCTAACACTTTTTAATTTTTGAAATCACTGTTAAATAGTTTTTTCCCAGTAGTGCTCTTGGAGGTGAATAGCAAAATAAAAAAAATTCTTCATTTTGTATAATTAGAAAATGAGCTGGAAGCTTAACATTCATATTAAAAAAGGAAGAAACAATTTTGGATACTTGAAATTTGAAAATTCTAGTAATGACTTTGCTTTTTGTCTTAATTTCTAAGAAACAGTGGCTCTACTGAGCTCCTACATTTTTCATATTCCCCCTGTCTATGAAAATCAGATGCCCTCAAATATGTCTAATTTGGTGTTTTTAACTAATAATGGAAAATATGATGGAAATCCCTTTATGATACCAAAAAGAGTATCACAAAGTACTTCAAGGTTATTATGGCATTACAAGAAATAAAGTTATAGTGAGTTTTTTGAATCAAGTGTTGTAATATGAATGGGGTAACTGTAGTTCTAATTCAATACCAAACTACATGATACTAGTGTATCATGGATCAGTGTGGTATCTGACTGTATTTTATATTAGTGCTACTGATAGCAAATTCTGGAAGCTCCTTGCTCCGTGTGTGGGACAATTCTTGAAGTGCCTGGCGGCTAACGGTTGTAGGAGTGACTCATGAAAATATTGCTGTTGCTTTATCTGGAATATGATCATTACTCTTTGAGCAATTGACGGATCTCATGCAGAAAGCCTCCCTAGGCTAGGATTGGAACAGAAATTTCCTTGGCTTTTATCCTTTACTTAAGAGCAGTGGATAATGTCTGGCTTTGATTATTTCTAATCCGTTTCCTTTCTAGTGGTAAAAGTGTTTGTGTCAAGCATAGCCTGACTATGTTTCTTCCTTCTACGTCTTTTTTGCCCTGATAGCAACTGTTGTCAGTAAATGTTCTGTTTTCTGAAAGACAATGCATGCTGTAGGAAATTCAGAACAGCTACTTTACAACTTAGAACTTTTTCTAATTGCTGTAGCTTGCAGGTTTGCCATGTCTAAAAGTATGGTAGGAATAATCAAGAGTCAATCTTATTTCATTTCCTAATGTCTTCTGATAGAATATTTTCTTCTGAATTTATTATAATTATTGATTACCTTGTCTTCTTCTTTGCAGTTGCTATTTTGGTGAACCAAAACTGGCATATTGGCTGACCTTAACTGTGCATGGCTTTGCAGACAGCCCTGTTTCCTGGAGAGAAAGTGAACATGGTTTCCACAAGGGAGGAGAGAACTTGTACAACTTTGTCATTTTTAGAAATCTGGACTACTGGCTTCAGATGGCTGTAGGAGCTCATGATGATTGTCCTCCATAAAGCTATATCTACAGAACAAGTTTTCTAATAATCTCATGTTACTGTATATAAACCTAATAAGATAGTTTTTATAAAAGTAATGAGGTAACAAGTTATGTACTAAGAGGCTGTATATGTTTTTTCCATTATTTATAGCCTTTAAAGGATGACCTACAATGGAAGGAATGGATTTTTGTTTCTTCACTGTCATACAGTGCCTTCTGAACGACTTCACAATTCTAGCCTTAAGAAAAAGATCTGGTTTTGAGAGTTTAAGTTCTCAGGAACTGACTGTAGGTGGTTTATTTTTATCCAGGAGTAATTTTGGAATTTCAAAGTTAGTTTTACAGATTGTTAACTAAAATATTTGGGAGGAAAGCTTATTTGGGGATTTAGTGTTTTCTTTCTTTACATTAAAGATCTGTAAAACCTTCAAATTCATGTTTAAGACATTTCAGCCTACATGCTGGCAAATAAAAAAAACCAGAGATGTGTTCTCCGTAATTTGCTAAGGGGGAGGAGAAAAACGGTGAGGAGAAGGAGGTACGTGACAGTGGGAGGAGCACCCATTGCACATAGAAGTAATAAAGGCTTATTGACCTGCATTTTGGATTTTGCAGATCACAGTTGGTTATCAGAAAGGAGTTGATTTTTAACAGTGATGCAAAAGGTTGCTGCTTGCTTTCTTGTTCTTGCTTACAGGACAGCTCACGGAGCTAAGATTTCACTGTCATGTTATTGCAGACACGGTTCTGGGAAGAACGCTACGGACATCCCCTCTAACAGTGCAGCTGAAGTGAAACAGGTTTTGTTAACAATAAGCAGTAATGCTGAGAGCATAGGCAGCTATAAAGAATCCAGGTTAGCTCCTGTTGAAATCCATGAAAGGTTGGATGGTTGTTGGGGGGGAGGGGGGAATAGGTGTTATTTGGTGGTTGTTTTATGGAGTGGATATGCATCATTAAAGTACCAATGCAGTGCTAAAATGGAAGTTGTTCACTTGATGGAGCAAGAGGTTGGTAGTGGAAGTTAGGGCATAGCTGTAGTGGAAACATCAAGCTCCTGTCAGGGTGAGTGGCACAGTAAAGCAGAAAGCCCATGGGAAGCAGTTGAGCTTTCTGTTTGTTTTTGTTTTTTTTTTTTTTTAATCTGTTCGTTGATGCTCTTCAGTGAGGAGAATCGTCCTAGATGACTTACGGGGTGGTCATACACCTACACTAAACATAACCCCTTTTGCTCAAGTTTTGCTACATGTTTCACAAACGCAGCTCTGACAAATCAGCAAACAGTTCTCTAAATCATTGGTTTTTTTCAAAATTGGTGACCAATGATAGGACCCGAGGGAACAGCAGGAAGATGCCAGGGCAGGTTTGGGCTGGACATTAGGAAAAGGTTCTTCGCCCAAAGGGTGGTGGAGCACTGGAACAGGCTCCCCCAGGAGGTAGTCACGGCACCAAGCCTGACAACATTCAAGAAGCATTCGGACAACGCCCTCAGACATATGGTGTGAATTTTGGGATTGTCCTGTGCAGGGCCAGGAGTTGTGGGTCCCTTCCAACTCAGGATTCTATGAAAATTATCCTGCAATGAGATGTTTCTAGTAGGTTACCAGGAGCGGAAGTGCCACCTTGTCACATATACAGACAGACTCATGTGATCACAAACAGAATGGAGAAGAGTCTGGGGAAGTTCTTGGCTTGACACTTGACTAGTAAATATTTAACATGGCTGGCTCAAATGTTACATTTCATTGCTGTGCATCCGTGCAAATGGCTTCACTTGTTGGCTAAAGTCTGCTTTTGAAAGTGTCTGTTGAGGGATTATGCCTGGGTCAACTTTCACAAAATAGACTTTTTCCCCTTGATCAGAAGGTCTGTTGAAATCTTGGGCTTTTCCTGGAAGTTACGCCTGCAGCAAAAGTTCTAATACAAAGTTAAAAATCTTAAATCTTTATGAAAAGTTGGATGAAGTTTGTAGCCGCTCCAGTGAATGTTCATCTTTCTGCCAGATTCTAGTAAAACTAACTTTTTCCCCCACAGTGTGTATACACGCACACAAACAAGTGTCATTTATATTGCTTGGGAAGAAAACCAACTGCCATCCGGAGGTAAGAATCTTGTATTGGTGGGTTTGTTTCCCTTATTAACCGAGAGAAAGGAGTGAAGTTATAGGCGTGTGCCTCATAATACTCCCAGCAGGAGTGCAGTTGCTGTTGGCCTTGGCCCTGAAATGGCAGCAGCAGGACCAGGTGAAGCAATTTTTCTAATTGGTACCTGGTTGCAGAGCACCTTGGGATCATTGAAGAAGCAGCCACTGGAGAAGCGCTGGTGGGTATACAGTGACAGCCTCACTAAGGCAATTCTGGAAGGCAAGCTGAGCAGCAGGCATTTCAGCTTTATCAGTTCTCCTCAGCGTGTGAGTATTACGGTTAGTCTTTTATGGATATCCAGGGAAGTCTCATCAGACTGGTCACCAGTTCCCTTTGCCTCCTATCTACACAGGGAAGGGACTGTAAATACTTCTCAAAGCTCAGTGTTATAGGCAGAGTCATTTGGCTGCCCTGCCTCCTACAATCCCTAGTTGTCTTCTGGTTGGTGGTTGTTTCAAGTGGTTTTTCCAGCTAATGAAGGGATTAAAATCCTGTCTCTGGATTTTGTAATTTATTTGAGATGCTGAGTTGGTTTCTGGCTTTTCTCTGTTTTCTTTAAACCTGTACAAAGTATCGTTGAAAACCTCCTGCTGTTACCAGTCACTGCAGTTGGTCTGCTCTCAGGCTTTGTGAGATGGTACTGCGTTAACCAGAGCCACGGTTTCCTAGCGAGGTCGGGTGGTGTGCCTGCTTCTTCAGAGGCAGGCTTTCCTCTGCTTGCTGGGCTTCCTGGTGGCACAGAAGAGAAACTGGGTGGGGGGCGGGTGGAGGATGGAGTTGACTTCTTTCTTACCACCTGCAAACAACTGCGACCCGAGTGAAGATTTTCCTGGGATGAGGGACAGCAGCCTGCTCCCTACCATCTGTAAGGACAGACGGAGTACTTCTGTCTCCCCAGGAGACTCCCAAGCATGGGGGAGCCTCCTGCTGAGAAAAGGAACAGGAAGGCATTGCTCGCGTGCTTGGGGAACAGGTTAGTAGGGAAGAGCTGGGCCTGGGCCAGGTGGGCCCTAATTCAAGGAAGAATTGGGCAGGGCACATGAGCTGGAGATAAAAGTTTCTGCGTGAGAATGAAAGATGGCTGCTGGTGGTGTTCTTGCCCTTTGTGCCTGCCTGTGAGGGAGGACAGGAAAATCTAAAAGGTTCCTGAGAGCTGCAAAAGTAATGGGGAGCAGCTGCGCACCAGCTGCTTCCGAGATCAAAGGGCTGTGTGCTTACGAAGAAGTTTTGCCTCTGGGGAGTGTTTTATCTACCATGGGGAAGGAGAGCCAGATAGCTGAATGCAGAGACAAGGCCGGGGCAAGCTGGTTGCATGAGAAGTAGAGGTTTTTGTTGTCCTGGTATGCAGACGGACAGTGATAAGACACTCCTTGAGAGCTAGGGAACTGCTCTGCTTTAACCTCAGCCTTTCTACTGAGCTGTGCATTCCTCCTCCTCAGCTGGTGGAAGGAAAGGGAATTTTCTTGAGAGGTTACTGGGGGGCAGCAGAACCAGCTGGGAATGGGCCGCAAAGATCATGGCATTTTCCAGCCGCATGTTTGAGTGAGTGGTTATGTGTATTTAGAAGTTGGTGGGTGTGGAGCAACTAGAGAACTAACTTTCATGGTGACAAAGGGGAGATAAAAGCTGAGGTAGTTGGATAGCATGTGTTACACAAAATCACTCTAAATAAAATATATTTGCCTTTTTGGTTTGCAAATGCTGGCTAAGTCGGGAACCTGTCTGGAGAAATAAAGGTATGTGTCCCACAATGGCAAGAATAGGAGCCTAACAGTGGTGATAGTGTTTTGTGTGAGGAAGGGAATATTAGCATGGGGACCCTGAGAAATTTAGAAATAAGGATGAGAAAAAGAACTTTCGCTATCAGAATAGATTCTGGAGATGCTGTGGTTGCAGAGGGAAAGCAGCGAGATTTGGCGCAGCTTGGATCTGGGGAACGCAGGAGAGACAAGAATGAGTGCTAATCTAAGGCTGCTTGAAAGGGAGGTGACAGGGCTTAATGGAAGGACAAGCATGGGCTTTGTTTTGGCTGCATCATGCTGTCGTTTACTGGGGAACATCCATTTTGGAGAGGCTAGCCAAGATATAATGTTGGATGTCTGGAAAAAAGCCAACAAGAAAACAGGTTCATATGTCATCAGCCTGGGGATTGCATAGCAGTTGTGGGAGTGAGGGAGATTGCTCGAAGATGGGTTATAATGTTTTTGTTGGAAATAATTTGTGTGCTTTTGTTATTCCTTGCCACAGGCTGCCTCTTTTTGGTATATCTGTAAAGGTTTCTGAGAGTGTTACAGAACCACCAAAGATTTAAAACTGTCTTGAGATAGGTTGGATGATGTTGATATTGCTGTTAATTGCAATTAGCAGTTGGGCTGCTCACCCAATGCTGCAGGGCCAGTGTGGGGTTTTGCACATGTAGAGAGCTCCCCTGCTACAACTGCTGCAAAAATAAAGGAAAATGAGAGCTTAGAGGGGTATTTCTTTGCCCCCTCTCATGGGAGGTGCATAGCAAATCAGTGGCTGACCTGGGATTAGAATAAAGGTTTTTCGTAGCTAGTCCAGTATTCTAACTATTGGATTATAGTTCCTCTGATGCTGTTAATTAAAGATTAATGCATGCAGTTGACTCTGTCTTTAGTATTTCTTTGCGGTAGCTATACTGGAACATGCTTGAACTGTTTCTCTTAATCATTTTTATTCACAGAGCAGAGCTTAAAGAGCAAAAACGGAGACTAATTTAATTAGTGGGCTGTTAAATAACTACCTTCTGAATATTAACAAGCACTTCAGAAATATCTACTATAAACTGAGGCAACTCTTCGTAAATGAGTGGCCTCTGTTTCATCCTTGGAAGTAGCTTCCAGCACTGCTTAAAAATATTTGTTTTAATGCAGCCATATACAGGAGCAAAAAGGGGGAGCTAAAGTGGCTTGAACATTTTTCAGCTTTCCAGAGAGCAAGGTGCAGGGTG